TGAAGAAGTTTTGGTCTTGGACCACCCAAAGAGCCTTGAGCTCCCTCAGGGGCCAGCCCCTGGACCATACTGTGAGACTCGGACTTACAAAATAGGACAAAAAAAAAAAAAAGAAAAAATTATTAGTGAGTGTGTAGCCTGCATCATGGACATGCAGTTCACTCCTCATTGGTGGGCTGTTAGGGTTCCCATGTATGGTTACCTAACTTGAAAATTTGTGGGAGCCTCTCCAAAATTGTGGGAGATAGATTAATAGATATACAATGTCACTTAAGCCTTACATTGTACTGACTCATATAGAACTGGGGGTTGAGGATAAGTTGCAGCATGCTGCAATCCAGCTGTGAGTTCAGTTATCTGAGCTATGTGGTGTGATTCAGGTTCTGTGGGTGGAAAAAATGTTTCTTAAGGGGGAGTTGGAATAGTGACAGAAAAAGAGCTCTGAAACTGGAACCTTCACACATTGCTGCTGAGAATGGAAGTCTGGCAGCTCCTCAAAAGGTTAAACATAGATTGCTGTATGACTCAACAAATTCACTCCTAGGTATATACTCAAAAGAAATAACAATATATGTCCACACAAAATCGTGTACATGAATGTTCATAGCAACATTATTTATAATAGCCAGAAGGTGAAAACAACCTAAATGTCCATGAACTGATGAATGAACAAAATAGGGCATATCCTTACATGGAATTTTATGCAGCCATAAAAAGGAATGAAGTGCTGATATATGCACCAACACGGTTGAACCTTGAAAATATTATACTTAGTGAAAGAAGGAAAACTCAAAAGACCACATGTTGTATAATTCCATTTATATGAAATGCCCCAAATATGCACATCTAAGGAAGCAGAAAGTACATTAATGGTTACCTAGGGCTGGGGAGTAGGAGGAATGCTACCTGAAGAATGTTTCTGCATATTGTTAAGTTGTAACATCTGTTATGGTCACAGTACCAGGAACAAAAATTCAAAGGGAGTTTTTCTGCCTTTTAAAGAACTAATGAGTCTCTTTTTCTTTTGTTTCCTTTTAGTACTCTTTAAGATCAGATAATGAGAGCAGGTTACTAGTGTCTCTCTTGGCCTTGGCTTCTAGTAAATTCGGACTACATTTAATCCTCAATCATAGTAACACTGTTAGCTAGGTTAGGCAGTTGGTGTATTTTTCTTTTTTTTTTAAACATTTTGGTGTAGGTTTAAAAATTTTTTACACACAAAGTTAAATATTTTATTGTAAGATGCCTGTGGTCTTTATCAGTAGCAGTTGGGATTTAAATTGTAACAAATATAAAAAGTACATATGAAAAACAAGAGTCAGCACTTGCCAAGATGGAGAAGAGTTTTTTCTGTGTAAAATAACATTAATTTTCAGGTATAAAAGTAATGTTGATCCTTGAACTAAGCTTTTAAACAAGCAGTGAGCTCCTAGACACTGGTACTGTTCAAGCAGATCCTGTAGAGATGCATCCTGTACTGAATGAGAGACCAGACTAAAAAGTGCCTTTAGAGTTCTCCCAGTCTTAAGACTGTCATTCTGTGATTGAATTGGCAGTATTAGTTTCTGACAATACAAAGCATTAAGTGGTAATTTCAAAGTGGATAATTTTTATTCTGAGAACAGATTTGACAGCTCAGACATATAACATAAAAGAGAGAGTTTAATGGAAAATACTAGAACAGGTACTACCCAGTATATTGCCTAAGGAGATCTCAGTGTAACTGTTGTTGTGAATGTGTGTTTTCAATCGCATGCAGCTCTGCTAGGATGAATCAGCTATAAAATGCACCCCTGAATATTGCTAGGGTATTGGGTATTTAAACATAATGTATTTAAATAGAGTATACATTCCCAATAAAAACTATTATATTTGAACTCTAATATATTACTGCTGCCTTCTTCCTCTTTCCTTCTCCTTTTTTCCTCCTTTTTTTTAAAATATTTTTTTCCCAGTTTCACTCAGATATAATTGACAAATAACATTGTACAAGTTTAGGTGTACAACGTTATGATTTGCTGTGTGTTTGTGTGTGTGTGTGTGTGTGTGTGTGTGTGTGTGTATTGAAATTAAGTTACTCTTTTTAACAGCACTCTGTCAATCCTTTTATTGTATCTACTCCTATTAGTTTAAACTATAAAACAAAATAAAGTATCAGCATAAAGGAGGAGATAGAGAGACAGACAGACAAAGAGACTCCCTGAATCCCCCTCAGCCACTGAAGGTCACCCATATGAATGATCTAAAAACACCATTCATGATTGATGTTTCATGAATTTATTCCTGCCTTTTTTTTTCTTAATGTCATTATTAGCATTTAGGTTTTGCAGAATTTATTAATAGCTTACCATTACATTGAGATTGTGGGTCCATAAATACTATTTATTTCTATTTAATGAGCAATCAGTTGTGCAGATCTACCACACCTGAGCCATTAGAGCTATAGGAAGAAGTTAATTATGTCACTGCAAAATTTAGCAAGTTGCAAAATTAGTTCCTAAAAATCAGGGGTAAGAACTCATAGGAGATGAGAGATTGCTGTCGAAAAGCCATATATAGTATAAATAGAATACAATAAAGAGAAAGCATAAAGTTAGGTTCTGTGCATTTGTTTTCTTCTGCCACATTCAAGAGTCCAAGTTTTAGTTGTTAGGAAATGCTTTTGAAAAGGAAAAAAGGAAGGAGATAAGCGGGAGGAATAGAAGGGAAGAAAGAGCCCCTGGACCTGAGGAAACGCACAGGTTGCCTTTAGGGGCTGGGTTTAAGTCTCATCAGCAAATCACTAACACTGCCAAGTGTGCTGCGTGGATCTAACATTTTCTGGGCTGAGACACAAACAGTCTTAATTCCTTATAGTGAGGGATTTTATAGGCATTCCTAGATTTGTCCATCTGAAAAGGATGGGAAGTTCTTTAGTGATCCTAGTGTATCAGAAAGGAAGGGGAGACTAAGAGAGGAGAATGGTCAATCTAAAGCAGCGGTTCTCAACCTTCCTAATGCCACGACCCCTTAATACAGTTCCTCATGTTGTGGTGACCCCCAACCATAAAATTATTTTCGTTGCTACTCTATAACTGTAATTTTGCTACTGTTATGAATCGTAATGTAAATATCTTTTTGTTTTCCGATGGTCTTAGGCGACCCCTGTGAAAGGGTCGTTCGACCCCCAAAGGGGTCGTGACCCACAGGTTGAGAACCACTGATAAAGGGTTGAGAGGAAGCAGAGAATACATGTGGGACAGACATTTCAGGCTTTCAATACTGATCGTTGATAGCTGTTAAAGCCACCTGCTTATCTTCCTGCTAGTAGTGCTGAAACATGAATTTCCATCACAAAAGTTTAGATGATTTTGTGTTGTAGATTTCATGTTCTTGAGAAACTAGAACTCTAGTCGAGGTTTGGTTGCAGAGAAAGTTTGGAATTCTTTTGTTTGAAAGGGGATTTTATTTTTAAGAGCCTGTTGGGAATAATTTTGATCCTAGTCATTGCCTCTGGCATTTGTGGTCTGTGAATTTTAGACCATTAAACAATAGGTAAATTCTTTCTAAATTTGGTGGGGAAGGTGTATGGGAAGGAAAAAAGAAGGGACTCCACCAGTTTTTGTTTTTGTTTTACAGACTTATTTTGAGGACTGCTGAAAAAGAGATTTTGTGAACTTACTTCTTTTTGTTGCCTAAATTGCCTTTGAGCAATTTTATAAAGAAATGCTGACTGGTTGGTTATTTTCTAAAATTAAGTTGGTGGAAAAACTGCAGTACTTTCTTGGGTCCGAAATCCAATTTTTTCTTTTCTTTTAAGATTATATAGGATGAACATTTTAAGTTATCTGAGGTTATTTAAATTCATGGAAGTCATCATATAAAGAGAGAATAGTCCTGAGCGAAAGTAAAACAGTTGTTTTCACTGCACTCTTGAGGTGTGTTTAGGACTGGATTTGTCCCATTATCTAGTCTTCAAGTAAAGGATTAAAAGCTACTCACTTCCTTGGGAAGGCTCTTCATTGAGCTATGCTCTCTTTGTTGTTTCCTATTCCTTTTTCTTAAAAAAGTAGTATAGTTGAATATATGAACAGATAGAAGGAATTTTGGGGAAGATAAAAGGATTATTGAGTTCTAAGCAATAATCTTTGTTTCTTGGGCAACTTCAAGAAAAGACGTGTTCTTGCTTTCACAGAGCATACCTGAGTGGCCCAGGTACGACTGATCAGCCTTTGCTGAGATAATCAGACACATGGATGAGAGCTCAATTCCTTTTCATCAGATTCTTCTGGCAGGGCAGTAGAAGATGACGAATAGAAATACTACAGAGAGAGAAAGGGAGAGGGAACTTTTAAAAATGACATACAGTGAGTGTTTTAATATTTTTGTGTGTGTTGGGAGGCAGTCCTCTATAGGTCTTCTGTATACCTGCACATCTTGGGACCAGAGGCACTGACTGTCTTTGTTCTGGATAATCTTTTCAGGGATGTTTGTATAATGAACAACCTTGGATAATAGAGCTAGTGTCTCCCTCTAGAGCAAAGGACAGGTTTGCTTAATGGTTAGTGTAATAAAGATAATGTCTCCCTTCAGGGCAACGGGCAGGCATACTCACTGCCCATTATAAAAGATTCGAGTTTCCTAAACTCAGGGCTTCTGTCTTGTCACACAGCACATTGAGTGCACAGGTGTTATCTGGCCCTTTTCAAACAGCTCTGTGGGAATTGGGATGCAGGGAACTGATGCACATGCTGATACTCTAGCTGCTGCTACTGGTGCGAGTACTAAACTCTCCTTAGTCTCTGACCTAGGAGTCTCATGTTTGCTTCCAAGACCCCTGATACTGGCAGGCTAACTCTTTAGCTTGCTGTTGTGGTGACATCTCAGACCCTTTATATTCTTACTACTTCAACATAATAGGATATATTTGGAAAGATTTACTGGAATTTATATTTCTAGTCTGTACTTTTTTTTTTTTAAGGAGTTCATTTAGGATATTATATCTCCTTGCTTTGTTATAGGGTTTGTTTATAATGTCAGCCCGTATATGGAGTATCATCCTGGTGGAGAAGACGAACTAATGAGAGCAGCAGGATCCGACGGTACTGACCTTTTTGATCAGGTAAGATGCTGAAAGTAATCATAGGGTTACAGTGGAAGAGTACTGTTAGATGTAGCAGTGTGATGGTTGCAGAAAAAAAGGGAAATAGTTGCATAAATTTCAGATGTGTTGGCTTGAATTTTGAAGTGTGGCAAGATTCTCATAAGTAACAACTGTTCATTTAATTTGCCTTTGAATTATTTTACTAAAATTTTAGAGATGGTTTCAAATCTGTGTCTAGGAGTCTACTCTTAATTGCTTGCTGTCTCCTCTGCTGGCACTTGTTTACTCAGTTTTGATCAATTTTGATAATGATGATGATTGACTTATGGGAGGCGATGGTAACTAGAGAGAGAGCAAGTCATTAAGCTTCTTTGTTCTTGGTCTTTTCCAGTTTGAGGACTGTTATGTAATCAGCCTGTCTTGTTATATTAAATCTGCATATCATGTAGAAAGTTAGGTGAGCAATGAATAGAAAACTTATTTTTCCTAGAGTGCTGGCAGAGATTCGGTATGTACGCGTATATGACGAAAGATATATTTAAATAAGTCACTTTTCCCCTTATGCTTACTAAAAACAAACATTAGTTTTTATACTATTTAAAAATGATATAGAATATATTAATTATTATCAATTGGCTGAGTTGTTATTTTGAAACAACAATCTTGAGGAGAATAGAAATTTCCCCTTGTCTCACATGTACTTTATTTTGTATTTTACTTGAGGATTAATTATGTACTGGGTTTTTACCATTTGAGATACCTGAATCAGATTGGGTTATTTTTAGAGTTGACTTCTCAACAAATGTAATTTTGATTTCTGTTCCTCCTGCCTTATCTATCATGTATTTTAGGATTTATTTTTTCAATAGGTTACCAGAAATATAATTTATTTTATATTTAAAAGCCAAATAGAAAAGTTTGGGAACATTTGCCTGAAAACTGGCCTGCCATACTTTTGTTTCTGTCCTATAATCCCTTAGTGCTGAATGTACTCATCCACAAGAAGAATTGCCAGTAAAATCTAGTTCTGTTTATATTCCTCAGTGTTGTGAGGTTAAATGGGCATTATTTTAAAAAGGTTGGCACAAGGGAAGTCTCAAGAACTGCTGTACTGTTAAGTTCTTTATAAGTTTAAACAATACTTTAGTTGCCAGATTGCTGTATCCCCCTTGGCTTTTGGAAGACCAGTGATGTTTATTTATGACTTTTACTTACCACAGAAGAAAACAACTTTATGTCCTAGAAATTGTGGTGACGGTTCTTGTATCTTTACATATTTAGGAATTTATTCATGCCTAGTATTTGAGTTGTACACAGAATATTAAGTAATCTCTTCATTGTCAGATTCCTATCTCTAGTTTTGATCCCACTCCTGACCTCTTATTTCCAAATGCCGATGGACAATTTGATAACCTGATGGCTCTCCAACTCAGTGTGCCCTCAAATAATATCAACTAATCTTCTTCCCTTTTTGTTCCCCTCTGTTCCCTATTTCTGATAATGGGGACTTGAAGCCTCTTGAGTAACCTTTGCCTTCTCTCATTGCACATATCCAGGCACTGGGGAAATCCTATGGTGCTGTATTTAAACATGACACCTTTTCTCTCTTCTCACTGCCTTAGATCAAGTCATCATCATTGTCCATAGCTCTGTGTTAATACTGTCCTGATATTTTTACTTTCAGTACCAACTTAAGATAACATGACAGTTAGGTTAATATAGTAGTCACCTTTCGCTCTTTCACTTTCCATGGTTTGTTTCCCATGGTCAACCATGGTCCAAAAATATTACATGGAAAATTCCAGAAATAAACATAAGTTTTAAGTTGCGTGTTGTTCTGAGTAGTGTGATGAAATTTTGCACTGTCCCGCTTCATCAAGCCCAGAACTTGAATCACCCAGCATATCCGTGCTATATACGTTTCCTGTCTATTAGTCACTTAGTAGTGGTCTGGGTTATCGGATTGACTGTTGTGCTATCACAGAGCTTGTAACCCTGATTTTACTTAATAATGACCCCAACGCACAAGAGTAGTGATGCTGGCAATTTGAATATGCCAAAAAGAAGCCATGAAGTGCTTCATTTAAGTGAAAAGGTGAGTACAATACAATAAGATATTTTGAGAGAGACACCATATTCACATAATTTTGATTATAACATATTGTTATAATTGTTTTATTTAATTTAGTTATTGTTGTTAATTTCTCACTGTGCCTAATTTATAAATTAAACTTTATCAGAAGTATGTATGTATGGAAAAAACATAGTTTACATAGGGTTCTGTACTTTCTGTAGTTTCAGGCATCCACTGGGGGTCTTGGAACATATCCCCCACAGATAAGTGGGACTATTGTATTCTTTTTTAAAATTTAATCTTATTATTAGTTTCAGGTGTACAAAACAACATAATGATTAACATTTACACCCCTCACAAAGTGATAGCCCCACCAAGTCTACTACCCCTCTCACAGCACACTTAGCTATTACAATACCATTGGCTACATTCCCTATGCTGTACTTTAAATCCCATGGGGACTACCATATTCTTAAAGATAGTCATCTTAGCACCTTACTCTACAACTCTCAGGCTTTTCATTGACAGTAGGATAAATTTAAAGTCGTTATTTGAGACCCTAAAAAGACTGTATCAAGGTAAATATTCTCAACATGCATCTTGCTGTGAGCAAACTGAAGTGCTTTGTGCAAATCACCAGTTCCAGTGGTTGTCAAATCCCATACAATCGCTTCCTTGAATTTTTCTCCTTCATCTATCTATTAACATTCTACCAATCCCCATAGCCCCAGAGATGCTTTGCACAGTTAGGGATACTCCATAAATATTTGGTAAATGAAATTTCAATTTATATTAATAAGCAAGTGTCCATTTACTATAATTACATATACTTTTTAATATATTTTGTATTTTAATGTGTATTTATTTACTTGCGAACATACATAAAATTCTGACATTAGAATTATTTGACCTGACTTTTAGTGATTATATAGTATTTTATTGAATAATATGTTATTCAATTTACAATTAGACATTTAGGTTGTTTCTCTTATTTTGCTAATATAAATAGTGCTGTGAGAGGAGTATCCTGGTACCTGTATATTTGCTTGTATGCAAATGTTTTCTCAGGTAAATTTTCTGTATTACTGAGTGAAAGAGCTGCGTATTTTGAGGCTTTTAATGTATATTGAGACAGTGCCCTTCAAAAAGGTTGTTTACATTTAATTTCTGCCAGTAATTCTGGCAGCAGATAACTCTCAGTTGTTTTTCTTGAAGTGACAATCTCACTTTGTTCTTTTTGAAAAATAAATAAATAAATAACTATATATATGTATGTGTGTATACACACACACACACACACACACACACACACACACACACATCAGATATTCAAGCATGAATAACCAGCTTGTTTATAAGTCATTCTTTTTTCTTTTAAGCATAAATGGCCTTTCAAGAAAAAAAGCTCAGTTCAGTTTGCAAATCAAAGAATTGCAGAAGTGTTTTTGAGAACTTCCTATTTTGTCACACAGAATATAAAAAGACCTGTACTCAAGGGTTGAGATTGAAGAAAATATTTTCTATTTCATGAAGGATATTCTTAAATGAAACCAAATCCCCACTCCACTCCCTCATGGGTCTGGTGAAAAATATAATCATTGAAACCACTGCCTTAATTTGTGCTAACATGCAAGCTGTTTCACCCACCACTGCTTTTTCAACATCAGTGCAAATGTCAACACAGTGAAAAAGGCAAATGAATTTTAGCATATTATGAAGCTGATAGAGCCCTCATGGATATCTGAAAGGGTGTCCGGAACCTCCAGAGGTCTATAGACAACACTTCTAACACGTTGTTCCGAATAATCCCTATGTAAGCTTCCTTTCTGTCACTCCCTTGTTGGCTAATTAAATCTGCTTCTTCATTTTTCAGAGCAGTGTAAAACATATTTAGTTTTGCTCAGAATAAAATTAGAGCCTCTCACGGAGTTAGTTATGTTACTTTTCTGTCATTTATTTCCCATATCAGGTTCATCGTTGGGTCAATTATGAATCCATGCTGAAAGAATGCCTGGTTGGCAAAATGGCAGTTAAACTTATTTCTAAAGGTAAGAGTTGCCAGAGCTAAACTGGCATTGATGTGTGACACACAGGTACTCTTTTTAACTTGGATTTCAACACATAGATTTAAATAAATCACTATATTGTTCTCATTTTCACTGGCCTCCTAGTCTAGCCACTGTAAAGGTTTTACTTGTTTTTCTTTAGAATGAAACAATGACTTTATCTTATTGAATGAATGAAACAATGACTTTACCTTAAATTTTTTACGTGTTTTGAGAGGACATTCTTAGTGAGGAATAAGCATTATGGGAGCGAAGGAACTTGACTTAGTTTTCATTAGTCTTTTATTCTGTTGTTACATAGACAGATTTGCTAGAGCACTTGGTTAGAGTTGAAATTTAGACTTGTTTTTTAGAATTTAATTTTTTGAATATGCAATGTATTCACATGCCTCAAAAATGAGTAAACATAAAACGTCACACAGTGAAATTTTTCCTTTCAGCCAAGTCTGCCATTTGCTTTGAACCTTTCCATTCCTTGCTTCATTACCATGGAGAACCCATTTTCTGATTTTTAAACTATTTATAAAATACAGCCCATTACTTCCCCTTACCTTCTACCCTGTGGCTGTGATCTGCGTGGTGTTGGAGATCATCTCTTTACCTCCTAAGCTTCTTTCAGAAGAGTATCCTTTGGCAGTTTTAGTCATGCAATAGAAGTAACGAATACTTTGCTTAATCCTTGATTGTAGAAGGAATGTAGCTTTTTTTGTTGTTTTTTTCCTCCTGACTTTGATACCGAATTTAGGAGTAAATAGACTTGTACAACCTGAGCCTTCTACTATTTTTAGTTCAGAGATTTGGTAACTGCAGGCCCTGTTACCAGAGGCCTCCATCAGCAGGATGGAAGTAGCACAGGCATACCTAGATTTCAACCCTAGCTCCATGACCTATGGGCTGTGCAGTTTTGGGGTCCAGTTTCTATCTGTGAGCCTCAGTTTTTTAAATCTATGCAATGATTCACAGAGCTAAGAATTAATTGACAAGAGTATAAAGTTCCTTGCAGAGTGAGAGTATTATTTCTTTTTCTTCCTATTGCTACAAAACAAAAAAACAACATGTGCATATACCAAAAGCAAACTAATTTGAACTCTAGTGTCTGAAAATTCTTCCATACAATGTACTTTTGTAAACCAATCCCTTTCTTCTTTTAGTTGGGTCTTAAATTCACTGATTTACTGCCAGCAGGAGATATGATCTTAACTAAAAATTTTAAATGACTAATTTTACCTCATTTTGAGTATACGTTATTTATACAATCTGGTGCTAAAGGTTATGTGTTCTTCTGTAATACCATTCAGGGTAATCAGAAAATCTACTAGGCTCCCTAGGCTTCTCTGTTCCATAGGAATATGAAATTAATAAAAGGATTTTTCCTTCCTCCTCAGAAATGAAAGACAGATAATTCTCAAACTGCTTCACCAAATACAACAAACACCATTTAAAATGAGCAGATTAGTTCACAAAGAAATCCCCAGATGCCCAAAAGAAGGGTAGTTAGAAGCAGCAATCTAGAGTGGGAAGCTGGCTCTGAAGCCTCTGCTTCTATTAATAGCACTTAATCGAGATACGTGCTTAGAACTACACAGGAATTTTAATGGTCACACAGGATAAAAGACCAGATCTGGGGTCTATAAAGGCGGGGAGCTGGAACTGAGATCTGTGCCTATTGCTTGGACTTGTGAGGGTCTGTGTGATCAGTGAAATGGGAAGGCTTGAAAAAAAGTCTGTTCAACAACAAAGGGAATGAATGTCAGGATATCTTGTATGCCTTGACCTTGGTTAGGTGATGGGGGAGAAGAAAGAGAAGTTTCCTCTGAGAATTGTAACCATAATCCTGCCTACATAAGAGTTGGGAATTTAAATATATACCACCTATGTGGTCTCAGAAACCTCAAGCCAAGAAATAAAACCCTCTCTCCTTACTGGTTTCTCAGGTTGATTGGCAGATGTATATTACAGTTTTTTAATGGTTTTAACCTAAAGCCCTCAAAATTCCAGCATGTGAATATCAGACAATTATTTGTGCACAAAAAACAATTTAGACAACACATGAGGAAACAAGTCAGCAGAAACAATAGCAAAATTTTATCCCTGGGACTTCATATGTAGAACAAAAATAACTGTCTGAAATGTCTAGGAAAATAAGCATGAATTGTAACATGAGTGAAAAATGAGACTGATAAAAATAATTATGTGGAATTGGAAAAAAACAGAACTGTAGAAATGAAAAATAGAGCTGGTGAAATTAAAAATACATAGCATGAATAGTCAAAGAGCTTGGACATGGTAGAAGAGCTCAGTGAACTGCAAGATGGAGCAGCAGAAATTACACAGAATATGGCACAAGAAACAAATGGATAAGAAAATATGCAAGAGACATGGAGGATAGAGTAATGAGATCTAACACTTGTAGTCATTTCCAGAAGGAAGTAGTAGTGAGAATGAAGAAGAGGCAACATCTGAAGGAATAATGGCTGAGAATTTTCCAGAATTGTCAAGTCACAAATCCTCAAATTCAGCAAGTTCAGCAAATCCCAAGCAAGATAAATAAAAAGAAACCCACACAGACTCTGTCGTAAAAGTGCAGAACACCAAAGACAATGAGAAGATATGAAAAACAGCTGGAGAGAGACAGATTTACTAACAAACCAGTGATTAGTAAATTGACAGCTAGTATAATTTACTAGCTGTTACAGTTAACGTGCTGAAACAACAGTAGAACTCAGAAAACAGTAGAACAGTATCATAAAAATGCTGAGAGAAAAAAACTGACAACCAAAATCATTCAGCAATGAGGATAAAATAAAGGTAGTAAGGACTAGAAAAACAAAACAAAACACCCCCCCACCCCACCCCAAGACCCATGAAACCAAAATCAGAAAGGTTGAGGAAACTGAGGATTTCTAACTAAATCCTAATCGTAAAGCACTAAACTGTAATGAGTATTCCTTCTTTTCATCTGGTTCAGGGGAGTGGAAACCCATTTTTAACCCAGAATGAGATATGGACTCTGAGATACTATGTATTCACAAATTAAAAGCTTCCTTTTTAACACTGTCTCTAGCCCTGATACTGGTTAGTGAGGCAGCGTGATCTGTAGAAAAAGCAGTTTCATAGAGACTGACATGGCTTCAAATCTCACTTCTGCCACTCAAAAGCTGTTGTGTTCTGCATCAGTTAGCAGATCTGAGTGTTTTACCTGAGCAATAAAATGAGGTTTAAGAATGAAACATCCTAATGTCATTGTGAGGATTAAATAATGTTTGCTCACCACCTGTTGTATGCGCAACAGATGGTGGAGGCAGTAGGAGTGGTGGTTGCTGTGGTCCCTCCCTTTAACCCTCTCCTGCAGCACTGAGGCTGCTTACATTTTCTATTCCTTTCTGTCTCCTCACAACTGTCAGGTATAAACCAGCGTGTTATGCTGTGTTTCACCACACCATGTTTCTGTGAAAAATAAAGTATTATTATTTACAGAACATATGGCAGTGGGGTGGTTAATCTGTGTTGCACTATAAAGCCTTTTTGGATTAAAAGTGTTTTGCTAGGGTGTGGCCAGTAGCAGGTAGTGACACGAGATAACTTGCAAGATGTTAGGAAGCAAAGACAAGAATTTTATAAATTAGAAAAGCCTTGATTGCAAGTAAATGGATCGGGTTTTTGTAAGTATAGAGACTTAAAATCTAGCAGGATACAGTCTGACTCCAGGCTAACCAGAATGAGTAGAGCATATAAAAGGGACAATGTAAAAAAAATATTTAACATGTCAGAAACAAGGAATGCCCCTGGTAATTAAGGTGAAGAGTTGTTTTAACAGTATGGCTATGCCTTTGATCTGTAGCAGGGATTGATCATTGAACTCTGCTGGCCTGAGACTTATGGATGGAGACTATTAAATGGGGTAACTGTTTTGAGAGTGAATTATGCTGAGATAATGGGGTAAACTGTGACTCTCTGATAAACTAGAGCATGTGTTCACTCTACAGTTAGAATTTCCAGATGAAATGGGACAAGAGGATGAAAACAGATGAAGTGGGAATAATAGGTAGAAAGAAACTGTTGCTGACATGAGGATATGCAGAGGCTGGGCAGAGACAGTGGATATACTGAAGAGGAATTTTATACATGCGCTTCTTTCAATACCGGATCCCTGATACCATCTTGTAGGTGGGGGTGACCTGCCAGGCACCAATATCTTGTGAATCCAGAATTGGCATTTTTGTGGGCATCCGACAGTTGGGCAGTCTTGGGAGGACAGTTTTCAGTTTATCTGGTAGTTGCTAGTGTAACAGTGGTGAAATGCCTGTATAACTAGGAAGAAAACAGCAAAGCTGACAGAATGTAAAACAGCACTAGTGGATCCATGTCAAGTAAAGAATCAGTATGATTTTTATAATCCTTTGTTTAAGAAGCATTATGTTTGTATCATACTTTAAAAGGATATTAATAACGAATAAAAGGAGAAGCTTTGAAAAGGGAAGTGTTAATTGCTGATAATTTATTTACATGGAACACTTCATACTATGGCAAAAATGAAACATATTCTTACTCGTTGCCCTTTTTCTAGTCTTTTTCTGTCATTATGGTAGCCAGTAGCCACACATGGCTATTGAGCGCTGGAAATGTGCCTAGTCCAAATTGAGATGTGCTACAAGTATAAAATATACAATCTACACTGAATTTTGAAAAAAAGAGTGAAATATAGCACAATATTTATTTTTATTTTATTTATTTATTTTTTAGCTGAGTCCATCCTGCCACCTGTTGGCAGCTCAGTGGCAGCTCAGCTCGGGCAGGGAATCGAACCGGTGACACTGTTGCTCAGAGCTCGCACTCTTGAGCAAGCTCTTAACCAACTGAGCCACTTGGCTGGCCCACTGTTGCATAATTTTTATATTGATTACATATTGTAATGATAATATCCTGGATATATTGTATTAAAGATATATTAAAATTAATTTAACTGGTTTCTTTTTACTTTACTAATGTAGTTATTAGAAAATTAGAAATTGTACTTGTAGCTTACATTATATTTCTTTTGGACAGTGCTGTTCTAGACCATAAATATACTTAAAAAAATTTAACCTTGGTCATATTTTTTAAATGTCATAGTTTTCAGTGGCGTAGTGCAGTCTCGGTAATGTTTTGTCTTAATTTCTCATTGCTTTGTCAGGATTTCTAACACTTTATGTTTTTAGTTTTTATGCCCACTCTCTCAAGCAGTTAATGACTATAAATCACATAGAACCATTAATAGAATACGTAGAGGCGGGAGAGGGACTTAGAGCTCTCCTGACACTCTCAATTTAAAAGTAAGGATACTGAGACTTATAGACACACACACCTCACTAAAAACTATCCTCATTTAAGTGCAGAAGCCACCAACCACTTAAATCCTGGGTTTTTGCTTTTGTAAGACAAAGAATCACCTCATCAAAGTTATTCACTTTTGCATAATTTCTTTTCCTTTGACATATGCCAGTGGTTTTTAACCAGGGTTGATTATTTTTCCCAGGGGACATTTGGCAATGCCTGGAGACATTTTCATTGCCAGAACTAAGCTAAATGCTGCTGGCCTTCTAGTGGGCAGAGGAGAGGTCGGGGTGCTGCTAAGTACCCTACAATGCACGGGGCAGGTTCCCACAACAAAGACTTCTCCAGTCCAGAATGTTCATAGTGCTGAAGTAGAGAAACCCTCGTGTATGAATTAGGGTTTTATTCTTAAAAACGATGGCATTGGTGGCACATGGATGTGAAGCAGGTATGTAGACAAGACAGCTCTTCCAGCTGCCAGCTGCACATTCAGCTTCTGGAGAGCCAGTTTCCTCATTGGTAAAATGGGGACAACCCAGGACTCGAGTGGGTGGGTCAAACGCAAGCCCAGAGGGTAACTGGTAGGGGAGTTAGTCGTGGAGAGAAAGGGGCAGGGTTCAGGAAGAAGTGAACTTCACTGGATGAGCAAATTTGCTATCTCAGTCAGGCCGCCTCAGTTTGCTTTTGCTGGTCTAGGGCCTATTGTCTGAGTGATTCCTGCCAGAAAGATAGAAGGGGAAGGTCATTAAAAATTGGGGATGAGAGTCCCTGGTCAGGGGTCCGATTCAGACATGAACAGGAAATGTGTCCTGCTGTTTGGGTGTGACTGGCCAATGTTTGGTTTAGGTTAGTGTTCGTTTTGTTTTCAGAGAAAGATGAGTTTTGAACATGTGTGTATTCATGTGCAGGAGTGGTTAATCCCTCGGGGTAGGACACAAATGGGAAATAACTGATAAATTGGAGAAATGAATAAAAAATGACAAGGGTAGCCTACTTAGGGAGAAAATACAAACCTCTAAAAATGCAGTTTATGCTATGATTAAGTGAATAATGGAGATAAAAACTGACCGGGAGTAAGTATATATGTACTCTGGTACTTTTAAGTCTTTTTAATCCTGGAATTTTTCAGGATATGTATTTGAACTATTAAATCTTTATTTTAATTCTGGTAAACTGCTTCTAGGATAAGGAGTAATTCTGGGCCTTGAAGTTTGAGAGATGTGTAACATTTAAAGATGATTTAGAAGATGATTGCAAAGATGAATAGAGAAAGTCAAAAGTAAACATAGTTTAGAACAAGTAAAACATTCACATGATTCAAGAATGAGAAGTGCCGGTGTCATCACTCTGTCTCCCATCACCCTTTCCCCCTCCCATGTACTGCTTTTATTGTGACTCCTTCCAAATTATCTTTATGCACATATAAGCAAACTGAATGTATGTTCATATTTTCCTAACTTTTTATCCAAATGGTTTCTTATTATGTCAGGATCCCTATTAAGATGATGATCAACAGATATTTATTAAAAGAATGAGCATACTGGGAAAACAGGATTTTTCTTATTTTATTTATCCTCGGGGATCTTCCTGTGGCTCCACTCAGCAGAGATAAACTAGATTGGGGTCACAATTAAAAATCCTCATCCAGTCCTCTTGCCAAGGAAGGGTAGAATGCTGATAAATCACAGCACTCGCAGTCTAAATGGCACTGACCTTCCCAGAAAGCAGAGGTTCTAATCAGAGTAATGCCATTCAAACATTATGAGAAAAGATAAATTTTCTTGGCTGTGGACGAGCCGGCCCAATGATGGAATTAGTTATCAAGACAGAATATTAGATTTCTTGCCAGAGAGGAAGGTATCTCATGCAACTAAAAGGATTCAGATGTAAAATGTTTAATAGCAAAAAAATAATCTATTTCTACGACTCAGGTTTTGAAAAGAGTTACAGAACTAGACTAGCAGAGTTTTTAACGGCAATTTAGATAATTTTAGTAGACGTTCTCTTCTACGGGTACTTGTATTAAAAAAAGATTCAGAGGAAAAATTACTAATTTAACAGGATCTAGAAAGTACTGACAGATTCAGATCAATTCACATCAGGTAGGAAATAAATATGTGTATGTATTTTTCCCTAGAAACTAATTACCTGGGGCAGGTTTTCAAAATCTGTGAGCCTTTTAAATAAAAACAAATTGTTTTACATGATAGATGAGATTCATCACATTGGCAGCTATGTGGTGCACTGAAAATAGATTTAATTTACTTTTGTTACTGTGAGTTTGCTGTTTGTTCTAAGATAAAACAAATAATCACAACTGCAGTAGCAAAGATAAATGACACTGAGTGGAAGAGAGTACATGACCAATCAGGGACATCAGTGATCCCTTGCAAATTGTAATGACTAGATTTTTATCTGGCATTTGATAAACAAGGCTCAATTTGAGATGTAATTTAAATGGATTTTAGATCTTTTGTCTTTTCAAGAAGTATTAACTCTAGCAATAGCATAGTAAGAAACATGGTGCTAAATTTCAGAGGGAGGAGATGAAGCCCAATGTTAGCTTGCTGCTCAAGAGCTGTGGATTTCATTCAAGTCCTTGACCTCTGATTTTTAGACGTAAATGAGGGGATCAGGTGATAATTTGCTGTATGTTGTTCAGATCTCTTTTCAGCTATGAAATTATTTAGGTAAAATGGGGAAGATAAGAAGGATGGTCATTTGGCTTCCTTAATCATGATTATTTTATGACAAGTGAGTGAAATGGGGGTTATTGTGGGATTTCTGATTGATTGAAAATCAAAACAAAAAATTTGAAAGCTTTGATTTGTTTCTTTTTCCATAAAACAAGGTGATGTCACATTAACAAGGAATGTTTTTCAATTTACTACTTGGGTATTTTGTGTTAGCATGTCATTCAATTTTTTTTGTTTTTTAACTCTGACAACTTGCTGAGGGTTTTATTTTGACTGTATATTATGGCACTTGTGATAGAGATTTATGAGTTGGCTGCTATCTTGAAAGAAAAGCCCTGCTAAATTTTTTCTGAATTGTAACACTAATAATTGCATTGTATATACATGTGAAATTCTTAACATATTTTCAGCATTGTGGCCATTTAATTTTTGGAATCACAATGATGGTTTTAAGTACTGACCTAGATCAAAGAGAAAGATAATAAGGTATCTTTCTTTGAGTTGTTAATATATATGTTTCATTTATAAAATGTAAACTAATAAATTTTGGTTAATTTTGACTAATTTAGAATATGATAAATTGGACAAAACTTGGGTTTTTATATATTTCTAAAGAAATTAACCAAGATATTAGGAAAAAAAATATCCAAAGAAGAAAAAAGCCCAGTGAAATGGGAGACAAACTCCAGAGAGATGGTCTGGCCATCTTCAGCAAAAAGCTTATCAACATGGGCCACCTGCTTACTAGCCTTGTTTCTCTCCTCAGGCCTTGGAAGATGGCCCTTCAAGAAAGAAGGGCTGATACCTTTAAATCAATAATATTAACTGATACTCTCTTTGACATTATACTGTTCTTACCTGACTTTTTTTCTAAATCACTGTACAGACTATCATGAGGAAAAGAAAGTCTTAAATGGTAAGTCATATAAATTTACAGTAAAAAAATGAATGAATCACACTCACATGATTATATAAAATATAGCTTCACAGAATTATATGGGATATTTAGATAATGTCTTTACTTGCCCAAACTTAGAGGATTAGACAGAACTTTATAGATCCCATATTCCAGCCATAACTCTTAATAGTAGTCCCCTCTGTTACATCCCTGAGCATATATTCATCTGTTCTTGCTTGAAGACATGTAGTCATTAGGAAGCAAGACTGAAAAAGTCACCTCCCTCAGGCATGTGAGCTCACCTCCAGTGTTTGCGTACAGATACTGAGCAGCCTGCTAATCTTCTCTTCTCTGGGCTCAGCAGCTCTGCCTTCCTCAGCTACTCAGTGTGACCTGGAATTATGGTCGACTCTTCCCCTACCCCTCAAAAAGGTTTGGTGTGGTGGTCAGTACTGACACTGACGAAATGCGTGGGACTACTCTGACTGAACTATATTAACGTATGTTTATAAATAGGTTGTTGTTTTTTTCTCTGCAAAAAATGTTATAGAAATTCAGTTAACAAGCTAGTTGTCGGATGAGTTACCTTTTTTTAACTAGAGAAAATGGTCTGTATGCAGACTAATTTATGCAGTTTGTGATGTGACACCTGAAGTTGCTTGTCTGATAGTGTAGCACCGCACAAATCATAAATGAGGGACTGATCTTAGATTTCATGTGATGTTTGGCTCTTCTTTGATACTAGACAAAAAACTTTCACTTAAAGACTGAGAACCGATGGACTGGGCATCTTCTTTCTCACCACATGTAGGTTCCAGAACCTTTACTTTTCCTTTGCTCTGCTTTGGGTGTACTGCATTTAACATCTCAGTTAACAGTGGCCTTAAGAATGGAGTATAACATTTCACAAGTCGCCTGGCTACAGTTACCTCTTAAAACCTAGATCTTCTAAGATTGTAATATATATACACTTACATTTATTAGCTTCCTGTCATATTTGGCTCGTTTAAGTCTATTTGGTAAGTCTGTGTATTTGCAGATGTGATCTGCCTGCCTTCTCTGTCATTATTCATGCAGCTGTTTAAAAAAACTAAGTGGGATAGGCTACTATAGTATTCCACTAGAGCTCTGATCCCTTCAAATTGATATCAGCCATCAGTTAGCATTTTGGGGAGAGAGAATGTTCTTTTAGTCCATCTTACTTTACTTAAGTATTTTTCTCCACCCTACATTCATCCCAGATTTCTTCAACTTACCCTGAAGGATATTATATGTAAGGTATTGTTGTGTTTTGTTTGGTCTATGGCATTACTCGCTTTAATAAGTTATATTTGTATGGTACTGTGTAGTTTTTAAAAAAATGTTTAAAAATTGTCTTATTTGCTCTCTCATGAGATATGAGATTGCAGGACAGATTTCTTTACTAGTTTGAATTTGAGAAAAAGGAAACTGGATTTCATAAAATCACAGTGCTGACACTGAGCTCAAATCCAGATTACCTGGTCCTAATTGGGTTATGAAAGATCAAAATTGACTACCAACTTATGAATTCTGTTGATAGCTTTTTCTTACAGAATATTTTAGATTGTGATGTGTTTGTTTTCATTTTATAAGAGGACTCCAAAATATAAATGATATTAATCTTAATAAAATATCTTTTGGGGCTTCTTAGGTAATTTAATAACATTGTTTTTTTCTTGTTTTTGTCATTTTAGAAAAAAATATATTTTAATTGTAGTCTTTTGTTATACCTGTAGTTTTATGGTAGATTGTTCTTTTTTGGGCTCACTGATCACTTCATAATTTTGGCCTTGTTATATCACATCTCAGAGACTTCCTTTGTTTACCTGATAATTAATTGTATTCTGCAGAGTTACATAGTAAGAGATGGATGCTGAGTGAGTAAGGCCTGAGCTCAGGGCTCACAATCACCCTCATCCCCCCGACCCCAAAATATGGCTATTTGACATCTTGTGGTTGCATTAAAGCTCGTGTTTAAACATAAGATTCTGTGGCTAAAAAGAATCTTGAAAACCTGTAAACTAGATTGTCTTAAAGGTGCCTCCCAACTCAACTTTATATAATTAATAACTGTGACTTACTATATTGAGAATTTCAAGACTCACCAGAGACTAAACATTACATTTTTTTTTCTGCACAGTTTGAGAAATAGTAATATAATTGATACAGTGCTTTTCAAGTCTTTTAGCAGTGGTATTCTTTTTCCCAAACAAAATCTTATAGATACACACCATGTTTGTGGGAGGAAAATATTTAATGTTTATAGAATCCCCAGAGTCCTTCCATGCCGTAAAGTTTTCTAATACAAATTGAAAACCACAGCTCTAGTGGGCTTTTAGAATGTTTTGTTGATGTCTGCCCACAAGAATGACTAAAATGGAAAAAGAAAATAACATGTGCCAGCAGCTGGAACTTGCATACACTTCTGGTGAAAAGTGTAAATTGGTACAGCCACTTTGGAAAACGTTTTACCAGTATCTACTAAAGTTAAGCATATGCACATGCTCTGTGCCTACCAGAAATGTAGATATGTGTTCTTTAAGAATGAACATGTATATGTACAAGAATATAAAAGCACTGTATGTGGACCAGCTGAGTGGCTCAGTTGGTTAAGAGCTTGCTCAAAGGTTTGAGCTCTGAGCAACAGCAGTTCGAGTACAGTCCGAGCTGAGCTGCCGCTGAGCTGCCAACAGGTGGCAGGATGGCTGGCTCAGCTAAAAAAAAAAAAAAAAAAAAAAAGCACTGTACGTAATAGCTGAAAACTGCCCTAATGTCCATTAAAGGAAAATGAATAAATTCTAGTATATGCATACAATGTAATACTACTCAGTAGTAAAAAGTAACAAACTATTGATGCATTCAGCAGCATGGATAAAATCTCAGAAAGCTCCAGATTTGATTTACTGCTTACTATCTATCATGCTTATTTGACATAAGAACTGTACTGTCTATAATGCTGGACAAGAAAATCCAGACCAAAAGGGAACATAGCTTATGATTCCATATTTATAAAGGTCAAATACAGGCCATAAACTAGTCACGATGTTAAAAGTCAGAATAGTGGTTACCCGTGGGGGAAGGGGTGATAATTGGAAGGGGGCCCAAGGAAGGTGCTGGCTGGAAGGGTATGTTTTACTTTAGGAAGAGTCATTGAGTAGTAAATCTGTGATTTGTGTCCTTTTATAATATTTCAATACGAAGTTTACTGAAAAGAAAAAAGGAAGAAAAATGCTACATCGATGAACTGTGGCTCTTTTGTTTGTTTTTCTCTGTGAAGGCATGCTTCCCAAGAGCCAAGTGACAGATACCCTTGCCAGAGAAGGCCCTATTTCTCCAAGGTATGCATTCTTGTTTTACTTGTTTAAAACTAAATCAGCTCTACACCAAAATACACATATTAAAAAAAATAAATAAAACAGCTCTGGGTTTATTGCTTAGTATATTAATCATGCTTCTTTGACACAAGAACTGTAGCGCTTCATTTATTAGACATTTGAGAATTAACTGTTCTGTAAACATGAATTTTTAGTGTAATTAAAATTTATTTTAAATACCAAAACTTAAAAAAAAACACCGAAAATATTATTTCTGATTATAAAATATACATTCATGGTAGAAAACTTGGACAGTGCAGAGAAATACAGAAGAAAATGATATAAATCAGTTGTAATCTCATCAACCCTAGATATGTACTCTTAATATTTGGTTTATTTCATCTTGTTTGATTCACATAATGTCTATTTCCATATTATTCTCTTTTGATGATATTGGTATTAGAATATATTCTGTGAGCAATTTCCTATGTCATTAAAAATCCTGCAAAAGCACTTTTGTCTGCATTCCGTCATATGTCCATACCATAATTTATTTAACTATTCTGTTTTTTTTGTATACCTAGTTTGTGTCATTTTCAATGGAAATCTTTCCAAATGTATTTATTACACACTGTGTTAGTAAATTAAGCAACCCATATATATATATACATATACATATATATACATATATATATATATATATATATATACACACACATATATATATATATTTTGTTGTTGTTGTTGTTGTTGTTGTTGTTGTTGTTGTTAATGACATTTCAGATGTCCTCAGGGTTTGTGTGTTCTAGGTAGTTTTTTTCTCTTTCTGCCTTTCTCCCCACCATCAGTCAGCATTATAACAGTAGCATCCTGCTATGTTTGTTAAATCTGTTGAACTACTTCATATACAAATTTAAGTTAAATGCCTAAGGAAACCTCCTCTAGGATTTACCTATGAGTGCCAATAGGTAATAAGTACAAAAACAGTATCAATTTGATCGATAGCTATTATAAAACACAAGACTTAGTTTTACTTTAAGTTTTACTTTGAGTCATTAAACAACTTTGATGAATTAATTTCTTGAGTAATATATTTGTGACAGGGAAGAATGAAAATAATAATGAGCATGTAGATTTTATCATGCTGCTTAAGAAAACATGTTGTGTTCTGTTATTGCTCTGATAAAAGATGTCAATAAGGAGATGTGCAAGTTTTATAAAAAGTGTCTTGTCAATGATATGTTTTTTTATCCAAGTTGGAACACATTGATATATAGGTATTTTAAATTTGGAAATAATTGCAGTTATATAATGGTAAGACCACTGATATTTAGAAAAAATTTTCCTAGAGCAATATATTTCTCACTGTAGATTTTAAATGTTTAATGAATTAATATATGTCAGTATACATGATTATTGATATATTCATTCTTTTCTTGATATTTTACAGCTATGACTGGTTCCAAACAGAGTCTTTAGTCACCATTATCATATATACTAAACAGAAGGTAAACATGTCTTTAATATCAGGAAAAATTATAAATCAATGTTAGCTATGTGCCAGGTACTTCTTGTATTAGCTTATTTACTCTTCACAATAACTCTAATATAACATAAATACTTGTGTTGTCCCTTGCTTTACAGATGAGGAAACAAAGAGAGATTATGTAATTCCTTTGAAGTCATCCAGGAAGTGGCAAATGTAGCATTGTATACCCAGGCAGGCTAGCTCCAGTGTACGCCCTCACCAACCACACTATAGCCTCTTAGGAAAAACTAGACTAGGAAGCAGTTTATATGCTTTTCTGTGATTATTTTGAAAGTGAGAATCCCATGTACATAACTTCACCATAAGAACTCGTTTCCTAAACATATATTGGGGTTCAAGAGACAGAAGAGACTGCACTGCTGTGGCTTCTTAAAATGCTTAAACCATTATTGGGGTTCACATGCCCTCTTGAAACTAAGATTCAGGAGATAATTTATTCACTATTTCTTGAACACCTACTTTATTTGCAGTGCCCTCTTACATGTCAGGGATCTAATGATGGGCCACATACATAGATATTGGCTCTCATTGGGCTTATCGTCCATCTGGGAAATCAGATAAATAAGCAGGCTACTTTCAACATCTGTAAACACATCCTCCAGCAACTGACAAGGCTCCCACACTTGAGGAACCGTGTGGATTTAAAGCCAAGTTCTGGCAGCCAGGAGTATCTGAGAATCCATGCTGCTTCTGTAGTAGCAGAACCACGTGTGAACCAGTGAGTTCCTCTGACTCTTACGGAGGGACTTGACCATTCCATTGGAGCCACCGGGCTCTGCCTGATACAGTCAAGGGGGCCCCAGGCACTGCTTGTCCTGCCTTCCACTCCCTCTTGTTATTGTCTCCTCAACACGCAGTCCAAAACCAAGAGGGCGAGGCCAGGGAGTTTGGGGCCTACTCCCAACAGAGAATGGTGACTCAGGGAAAGGGGAAGGTTTCTATGTGGAATAATGTGCTCAGTGTGTGGTACAAATGATAGGTACCAAAGTAACTTGCACCAAAGTTATGTGGAAATTAGAGACATCTAAAAATATGTTAGTTAATTAATTTTTTTGATAAGCTGAGGTTGAGAGGTGGTATAATTTGCCCAGTGTCACACAATAGTGGGAAGGTTAAAATGAACACAACTATCTTGGCTTCTGGTCTGATTCTAATTATTTTTGCCAAATTATTTATTCAACAGGTATTTATTGAGTACCTAGTAGGTACCAAACAGTATTCTGTGTACAGTCCCTTATGCTTAGAGCTTAGAGATGAGTTGGTAAGGTGGATAATAAGTACAGACAAGTATGTAATTATTGCCTTGCAGTATGTACTCTGAGAAGAACTGGGTTGTAGGAGGGAGAAAAAACAAGAGTAATGTTTATTTATCTGGTGGGTTCTGTAAAGAAGTGTCATGTGAACTTCCACTCATCATCTTAAAAAGTGTAGTTGTAGAAGTTGGGAAAAAATTATTTTTAATCATTTTTTTTGTTTGTTTGTTTAAGGGTATGAATTTAGACTCAGTAATAGTTGATTACCAGTATGATTCCTTTAGAGCCGAAACAATAATCAAGGATCATTCGTATCTTATACATATGGGTGAGTACCTTATTCTTCATTAATGGAACCAACTCCAGTTTCCTTTAAGTATGGCAATAACTTGGTCTGTGGTCTAGGTACTAAATAGTTTATTTGCTGTTATTTTGGTTTAATATTTAATATGCCATCATTTTATATTGTCATTTTTGATAGGTTTTTTTCTGTTATTTCTTTATACTAATGAAATTACTAGCAAATGGTGGTATAACTTCCTATCCCAAGTTTAGACAATTAGATGTAATCAAAATCAATAATAATATGAAATATGTGTTGGCTCAGCTTTGTAAGACTAATACTTGACACCGACAAACAAATCTCTGGAAGCCTGTCTGTTACAAGCTGCTACTGAGCTCCCACCACTAGGTGCTGGTCCCACTGGCCTGTTTCTTTCCAGCTCTGTGATGGGAGGTCAGAGGCTGCACACACCAAAGCAGCACGGATTGCAAGGTTGTATTTGTTTCCCTTCATGGCCAAAGACTAACCATACAATTCACTCTTGTCTGTTTTGAGAGATTACAGATCTATCAGAAGAAAGAAAATCAGGACTAAAATCTGGAATCAAAGACACCAGATTCAAAACCCGTTTGTCACCCATAATGAACTTGACTTTAGGATTTCACCCTTTTCTCATTTTATGATGGTGATTTTCTAGTTAGAAGGCAGAAATGAAAAAAAAACAAAAACAACAGCAACAAGAAAATAATCTTTGTAACTATGTTTTAAGGAGGCATTCTTATGTAAAGAACATTTCATTCACTTTTGCAAAACAGAGACCAAAAGAAATCTCTGGATCTTAGCTGACTCAGGATTCTGCGTTCCGCTTTGCTATATTAACGAAGTACCTGTAGTCCTAAATTTGTGGGAGTTGATAAATGCCTTTTTCTTTCTTATTCCCTGCCCTCCATTTGATTAGTCAACCTCAAATCTTAAACCTTTCCCCTAAAAATATATTCTATCCTGCCTCTTGTGAGAATTTTAACCACTCAGATATGTAGGAAAGTATACATTATTCATTAGAACTGTCATAATTTTTCTTTCAGTGGCAACATCTATTATTGTTTCAAATACTTTATGGCTAATTTTGTTCAAACTGTTGCTAACTATATCTAGCACACATATAAAAAACAAAATTCCACATTTAAAAAGATGAAACTGTTGGTTGCTAATATTGAATCAGAAGGACTAAAATAATGAAAAGTTGTAAGTTTCAGATAACCATATTAACACTGAAATTTGGAGATGTTTATAAAAATATTTCTTGTTTCTCCTCCTTCAAGAATGTAAGTTCTATAAGTGTAGGGATTTTCCTCTTTAACAGACTGCTGTACCCACAACACCTAGACACAGCATGGCACACATAGATGCTCAATATATTTTTTTTCAATAACTGAATGTGAACATTCAACTTTAGAGAATAATAAGAAAGGAAAAATGGAGCTAGACCCGGCTGGCCGGGCCTGCATTCACTGTGCACATGCATACACCAGGCGTGTATGCTTCTAGCGCTGCCCCTCCCTGCCCTGCTCTGGTCTTGGTGTGTAGGATTGTCACTCTCAGAACATGTTTTACTGATTTTGACAGATTTGAAATAGTGCATAAAATAACCGTTTAAATTATAATATATGATGTTCATAAACTGTGTGAATTGAAGTTGGATTTTTAACTAAATACATATTTTTCTTTCTTAGAGCTATTTCGTGAGATTCAAGAAGATTTTTCTGGTAAGCTACCAAAAAGTAATTATGTGTACACACACACACACACACACACACACACACACGCACACACACACACACGCACACACACAAACTCTCTGTCACACACACTATGTATGTATTCATGTTGCAAAACAAAGATGTGGTGTTTTCTAGATAACCAAGTACATTAATTTTTAAATATACTCTTCTCCCTCTGGTTTCAGGTTTCCTCCCTCCTTTTTCTTTCCCTTCGTTCCTTTCATCTCTTTTCCCTTTCCTTTTCTTCTCCTTAGAAAAAAATTTCTGTCTCCGTTTTATTCTTCCTTCCTCACCACTGCCCTATTCCTGACATTCAGCTTATAGAAATATACTAGATCAAACAACTTTTTCTTAGGTGTACATATTTGAATGTTTAATGTTGCAGAGCATATTAAATTATGAATATTCCTGCATATAAATATACAATGTGGATTTTACGCAGCTGTTTAACAATAGACTCATGATAGATGATTTCTTGGGGTTTTGTTTTGCTTTATTGAGGTATAATTAAATAAAAGTCATATTTAATGTGTACAACATGATGATTTAGTACAAGATTCCCAAAATTGTATTAGCAAATCCATCATCTCACATATTTACCTTTTTTTCCTTTTTGGTGAGAACGCTTAAATTCTACTCTTCTTTGCCAATTTCAATTATACAATACACTATTATCAGCTATAATCATCATGCTATACTTCAGATTCTCAGACCTTATTCGTCTTAAAACTGAAAGTTTGTACCCTTTTATAATCCTTTCCTGATTTCCCCCACCCCCTAGCCCATGGCAACCACTATTCTACTCTCTGTTTCTATGAGTTCACCCTTTTTCGTTTTGTTTTGTTTTTTTAAGATTCCACATATAAGAGATACCATGTAAAAATATTTGTCTTCTCTTTCTGGCTTATTTCACTTAACATGGCATCCTCTAGGTTCACCCATGCTGTTGCATGGCACGATTTCATTCTTTTATAAATCTGATAAGCTGCTTATATATATATATATATATATATATATGTATATATATATATATATATATATATATATATATATATATATATATATATATATATATNACACACACATACATATGTGTGTGTGTGTTTATTTATTTATTTTTTCCCTCGTTTTAAAGTACTGTCAGAATACCTTACACTGGTTCTGTCTCCCCTTTTCTGTGTACCGTAGTAAGCTTTATAAATTGTATAAATTAAGCTCTTTAAAGTCAAGGACCATGTTTTTAGATTTGGTAAGCTTCAAATCCGTGCTCATTGAATTGAATTGATTTAACCAGTCTATCTTACATTGTTAAATAGCTGTGGAATTTTGTGTTTACAGTGAGAAAGAACAGATAGTTTCCAAAGACAAAATGAAATACACTTGAGGTCTTTAAACACACGTTCAATTCATAAAATTAAATCAGTGTGTAGAAGTCTCTGATTTTTGTTAATTTATCCATTTATTCTGAACTATTAATCATTCAAAAAGAAAGATAATGTAAAAGGTTTTCAATTATCAAAGATTCACAAGCACTTTATAGGAAGTCATTCTCCTGAGGCTGTTCCTGTGTTTATTAGGCTCAGCATTGGCCTGCCGAATTCATTCATAGGAACTCCTCAGAGCTCAGCTAAGCAATGTTAAGAGGTTGTATATTAAATTTATTTAAATGGGTCCATTCAATGATTAATTTGTATATGTCAGCTCCCTGCCCCTCTTTTTTAGATATGTGTTAATTAGTTGCCATGGCTATATTTGAACTTGTATGAAAACTAGAAATACATATTAGTTTGGTCTTTGATAAATTAGTTTGAAAGAACTTCATCTGAATCTAAAATAAATTGAGCTGGATTTAGCATAACAAAATATTAACATATTTTGATGAATATGTGTACAAAATCTTATTTTACTAATAATCATTGTCATTCATATCAGGTTGGGACTTTTGGATTGTTTGAGAAAGACTGGTTTTACAGTAAAACCTTACATTTAGTATTATATCAGTGAACACAAATGGAATTGATCTTCTTTTCAGTGCGGGTTGTTGCGAATGTGGGAAAAATAGAGATCGACCTAAAGAAAAAGGAGCATACTTCTTGGAAACATCTTGGTCGTGCCCTGGAGAATCATAATTCGCTTATTCCAAGGAAAGACACAGGTACACTGTGCTGTTATTTGGGGTCCTGTGTTTATGACATTGTTGTGTTGATGTTGTTCCAGAGTGTGGAAGGCCACTTTGGGATGAGCAAGGGTCCTTTCTCCCGATAAGAAGTTTAAATGAGACATTGTGTCTGTTGTCATCCTTTTTTTTTTTTTTAACAGAGGTTAAATTTTAGATTTTACTATCTGATGTTTAGCATAACTAAGTTTAGGCATAACTAATGTTTAGACATAACAAAGTCATTAGGTAATGACACCTAAATGGAGAGGCCCACTTGTACTTAGACTGTTGTCCAACCATTCACTCCTTCAGGTTCCTTTTTATGAAAGGTCCAAAAACAAGTTTAAGTTTATGCTTTGTATGCACATCTAATTTTTTTTTCTATTAAAAAAAGACATGTTGATTGTTTTTCTGCTTACGTAAACCAGTTTCTCAGTTTACTACTAGAGGATGTAATTCATTTATTTTCTTCATTTATTTTTAAGCATTTTTATCTAAATATAACATATTATAGAAAAGGGTACATATTATAAGTATTCAACTTGATGAATTTCCAGAGTGAACACACTATATTTTGGAAATTGGTGGGATTTGCTCCTTGTTCCAAGTGTTCTGAAGTTTCACAATTTGATATGCTTTAATGTGGGTCTGTTTTCTTCCTTTGTGCTGAATATTTATCCTTTGTGTTAATCTTTTCATTATGGAAACTTCTGACCCTCAGTTCTGGGAAATACTGCTTTTTCTTCCTTCTGGGGACTGTGTTTGCTTTCTAAAAGTATTCTTATTTTAAACTTTCTTAACCAGTCCTCTAATTATCTTTTCTCTCTTATTTTCAGTTTTGTTCTTCTCAACTTTTTGGGAGATTTCTTCAGCTGTGTTTTCCACCTCTTCTATTGAGTTACTAATTCTACTTTCATATTTTTAACTTCTAAGACCTCTTTATTTCTGGCCCCCTATTTTAGCCTCCTATTCTTATTAGCTTTTCTTATCTCTTTAAGAATTACCAAGAGTGTTTTAAGAATTTTCTTCTTCCTGTGTAACCTCCCTGTGTCCCCATTGTTTGTTTGTTTTGGTCTGTCTTTCATAGTAGATGCTTTATTTGAATGTCTGCTGATCTTTGACTGTCTGCTCATATTTCAGGGTGTAACCCTGAAAGCTGATTGGGAACTATATGTGGGTGTGGCTTGTCAGAGTCTCTAGAGCAGCGGTTCTCAACCTGTGGGTCGGGACCCCTTTGGGGGTCGAACGACCCTTACACAGGGGTCGCCTAAGACCATC